AAATTGTGTGGCATCTTATGAATATAGCTACGTCGGTGTAGCATATACTTTGATGAATACCATAGAATACTTGAATGTTACAAGTGCCAATTATTGAATCTAAAACTTGAACTTCATCAACTAAAAATTTATAAGTGTGTGATTCAATCCAATCAAGAAATGTAATGTCGATTTGAGTAAAATTTTAAATCTATTTTTCATTATTATAACATACATGTGAACATGTAACAAAGATTAGGGTGATTGAATTAAAGAAAATTTTTTATTTGCTTGAATTCTTGGTTTTGTTTCCAACACACTAATTATGCGGCTTGAAATGCATCATACAGATCTTGATGAGTTTAAAAATTTCGATTTTAAGATATATGGGATCGGATTTTTTAATTGAAATATGAAACCAAACAATAATAATAATAATAATAATAATAATAATAATAATAATAATAATAATAATAATAATAATAATAATAATAATAATTCCCATATGTGTATTCGTGAAATGAACATACTGTCTAGATTTTGTCAATTAGTGCTATATACGTATGTCATGAAATGCCACTAAATTATTGAAACTTTATATAAAAAAGGCATACAAGCATTTTAATCATATTAAATCATTTACATTACGTTAAAAATACAAGAAAATAACGTGTTGAGCTCCTAATACCAATTTAATATTTTACTGCACGCTTTAACAAAATTTAGATCCAAGATTACTTATTTTACAAGATGAGTTTTTTCAAGATCTTTATGTGGTTCAATCACTTGCAATTTCTACTCCGAATCTGCATTTTGGTCGTCGAATGGTCCAAACTCAATCAAAATTGAAGGTTCTCATTACCCACTATTAAACTGTCACGTTTTGTGAATTTTCAACCCAAATATATGGTTTTAAGCCCTTTAAATTTTGGCATACTTCTTGTACGAGTTTATCATATGTTCAGCCCCCTTTTTTACGCAGACGCTTGGGGAGGTAGAAAAGTTATATATAATTTGAACTACGACTTCAAACCATTTTTTCAAGCCGAGTCGAGTTAGTCCACAATCCACGTAAATGACTCAAGACCCATCGTCTTTTGGAAATAAAAGTTTCTACTGCAATTAATGAAGCCTGAATTGTGCTTATTGATTTTACTGTATAGTCACAACCAATTAATTTTTCACTATTTGTTTCTCATTAATGTAAAAATGAGAATGAATAATATAGCTGTTAGGGCCCCACACAAGAGATAAAATTTCAAATATGGTGGCTTGATGTGATGGATAATGATCATATTTTTTATTTTAATGGCTAGATAATGGAAAACAAACAGTGGCTATATTTCGATAATACATAATGAATTATTTTAATGGTGATATGTGATAGCATATGTTTCAGGCTATGATTTATGATCCAATTTAGAATCTGCCTTTATAAATGAATATGCATTTTGTACATTAATTTAGTTTTCATCACTGATGAATACATATTATCCTTTGCACGTAATAATTGATTTACAAAATATTAACATGAATTCCGTTTTAGAATTTAAATGAATTATTTATATAAATGTTTTGCTATATGTAGTTTAATATTTGATGATGATGGAGGATGAAATTGATGTTAAACAATAGTTGGAGGATTGTAATTGGTGATAAATATTAGTTGAAGGATGAATTTAGCGTTAAAAATAGTTTAAAAATGAAATTGAAACTTAAAAGTAGTTTTGAGGATGTAAGTGTACTCAAAATTGGTTGGAGGATGAAATTAGTATAAATAATAGTTAGATGATAAAATTGGTGATAAGCAATAGTTGAACGATGAAATTGATGTTAACAATAGTTGAAGGACAAAATTTGTGTTAAATAATATTTGAAATCTTTTATCAATTGGAGTAAAATTATTGATGGCTTAATATAAAAAATGATAGCTATATTGCAGAGTGCAAACACTATTTTAAATACATATCATAAAACAAAATTTCATTCGTTTAGAGAGATGATCGGTTTTAAAGTTGAAATGCATACATGAACATCATTATTTGAAAACATGCTGAAAAAAAAGAAAGAAAGAAAGAAAACAAAGGGTATTATTGAATTAGATTAAGCCCTAGTTTGATTTTGATAAAAATTAATTATGTGTGGTGAAAATTTGTAGGTTTAATAAAATGTATAACTGAAAATAAGTTTTAAGAAATAGGAAACGAACATGAGCTAAGTATAATAAGGTACATTCGTCCAAAAGATTATTCTCAATCCATGTAAATATTTTAGGTTGAATATATTGACACCACAATTTAATTTCATTAAAGATCTCTCTAGCCATTTTTATGCCCTTGACTTTCTTCATTAACATTTCATTGACTAGCGTATTTTCTTAGTCTCTATTTAAAAATTATATTAAGGGTTTGTTAGGTACTAATTCTTATAAACAATTTTTTGATCGTTAGAGAGAAAAGTGAATCTCACTTGTGAGTGAAAAAATAAAAAATGATGACATACCATGTTAAATGACGATAAAAAAAAAAATTGATTTTTTGGCCTGAAAAATCAGAAATGGACAGGGGCTAAAAATGCACAAAAAGACTTAATCGTCATTTCATTTCTAAATGAGGAAAATAGTAAGTATTAAAAGTGCGACTAGATATTTACCCTTTATTTCAAAGCACACTAACAAATTGTTTGGACGAAAATCATCAAAGATAATATGTTTCTAATTATTAAAGATTGATGTTAAGAATGTGATGAAAAAAATTAAAGACGTAAATGTACAAATAGTTAAGGACAATTAATGCAATTAACACGACGAATGAATGGAATTACATTTTATATATTATAGAAATAGATTTACTTAAAATCATCTTTCTGTTTATTTATTCAGCCGTGAATTTTTCCACCTTAAGTAGGTGGTGAATAAAATATACATGACAAACGACTCAAAAATAGAAAACCAAAAATAAAGTTATAAAAGGTCAAAACAGTAATTTAACCTTGATTTTAAATAATTATAATCTCTTGCCTAACATGGGTACAAGGACTAATGTCGTCTAACGACTCTAACCATATCTTAATTATGATTCATTATTTAATCTTAAGCCCGCTGCCACAAGCTTCATTAATCATTATTAATCCCTCTCTCTTATGGACATTCTTATCGATTTCTCCAATTAACATTTAAATAGCAATATAATTATGTATTTGTCCAAAACTCTTTCCTCTCCCGTTTAGTAAATCAACAATGCTACGGGGATAGGCTCAAAAACGAGGTAAAAAATATAGTAAATACGTGTAAAAGCATAATTTGATACTTTGAAAAGTTTTAAAAATAAACGGCCAATCACTTTCTACCAAATTAGTCTGTCTTTGAATTCCTATTTTTTAGCTTGTCAACTGGTTTTATTCACTGAATTTATGAGTTGAGATTTACTGTTCAATTTATTGTCCACCAATTGATTATTTGCACATCATTTTACATTTAAGCATAAGGAGTAGCGAGAAAAAACTTGAACATGATAATTAAAAAATAATGTGCCAATAATTAAATTGATGAATAGCAAATTATATAGAAGATCTCAACTCACCCCCGACTGATTCTACCATAGAGGTCGACGATAGACAATAACTCTCCCCCGAACACAGCTTACAACTTTCATCGTACTGTGCTCTCCAAAGAGCAACTCTTCTCAAAATCTCACTCAAAAGGTGCTGAGTTGGAATCCCATTCTAACTAAGGATTCTTGTGGTTCCGGAGGTTCCAGCTACAGGAGAACCAGGAACGGAGAGCTTTCCCCCCTTTCCGCCCGACTCTTTGGTCTTAAGAACGCTGGTTTTAAGAATGAGTGATTGCCCTTCTCCGACCCTTACTGCCCAACCTGAGAACAGACAGCTAATGCGTTCAGGTACTTCACAATCACAGAAACGAATACTCTTAATAACAGTGAAACACTGATAAATTATCATCCAGTGTCGTAACATGATGAAGTGAAGATAAATATTCAAGCAAATATTGGGGATTCAAGACTCATGTTATTGGAAATTTTATACAATGTCATCTAAACATGATAATGATGTTATGTAATGATAAATAGAATAACTTAATTTATTGTCGAATAATACTACTTAGAACTAGTTTAGGTTAACGTAAAGACCACCTTTTCTTGTGCGATAAAGTTGGTATATTGTTGTTACCATTATTATTTGTTGTTCATTGCATTAAAATGCGCTGCAATTCAATTGTACAGCTCACTGCCACATAGATTTGGCTCATTGTGTGTGTATAGTAATGATCTCCCAAATATCGTGCTTAGCTTATGTTAACCACCAATAACATAACACACCATTTAATTAATGAATTATTAAATATATGAGACCTACATTCACATATTTACCAATTAAATGGTGTGTCATATTATCGGTGCTTAAGAGATCTATATATATATCGGAAAAAAGCAAAATTTAGTCTTCACGTCTCAATTTACCAAAGTATCTTTACATCATGTCTCGTAAGATAGATTGCGAGGTTATCTTACAGGGTTTTAGATAAAAAAAATTTTAGCAAATTTTGATTTTATACATATATATGGTTGAAATTATAAAAACTATGAATTCTATAAAATATAGTATTAAAATTAAAGTTTGACAAATTGAAAAGTTAACCTTATCTCAAACAAACACCAAATAATACAATTAATTGTGTTAGATTATGTTTATTAGAATTGAGCTAAAAAAATATTTAAGCCGAACAATATTTTAAAAAAAAATCCCAATTTTATACCCAAAAAAATAATAATATATATTTTTTAATGTTTGTAGTATGTGGCTCATGTTTATAAACTATTTATAAAAATCCCTCATTTCGATGAATTTACGAACACTATCAATGCATTCGCAACTCGTTCTTTCTTTTTATAATTTATTATAAATTGTTAATATACAAGCTAAAAAATGCTTGTATAAGAATATAAAGATAATATATAATTGCTCATTAACTTATCAACAAATTTATCACTTCCCCTTTCAAACCTATACAAAATATATACACATCTATATGGTTCTAAATTCACGCATTCATACGCGCCTTATTCTCCAATCAAAATGTTCATCAATTTAACCTAAAAAATTCATTCAAACCTGCAACGAACCAGCTGAAAGCAAAGAGAGAAAAGAATCAAAAAATCAAGAAACCTTCCAAAATCAAAATCTTTGTAAAGTCCGTAATTTATATATATGTATATTTTGTGTATGTATATCTGTTCTACTATCTCTCTCTAATTACTGTTGTGTGTGCTTCATGGGAAGAACCAGAGGTACAAAATCCAAGATAATATCGGATTTTTTTCAAGCAGGATGAATTACGTAAGAGACCCAACAAAAATTTTGGTGCAATTCTCCAGATGGATCTCGGATCTTGACCGGAGACTACTGCTTTTAATCCTTTTACCCATTTCACTTTTTCTGTATGTTTCTCTCTCACCAATAAGCACCACCACCACCACTGTGATCGTCTCGTTTTCCAATTTGGCCCCTTTCAAATCCGTATTCAACAGCTACGCACCCATCGGCCATCACCATGATGCACAGAATGAGACCCAGCCCGTGAATGTGCAGAAAGGGCCGAGAATTGCGGTTTGTTTAGTGGGAGGAGCCCGGCGATTCGAGCTCACCGGGCCGTCCATTGTGGAGAGGATTCTCAAAGTGTATAATAATTCTGATCTCTTTCTTCACAGCCCGTTGGATGCGAATACCTACAAGTTTAGGCTTCTGAAGAAAGCGCCCAGAATCGCCGCCGTGAAAATCTTTCAGCCGCAACCAATTCCGGAGACTGAGTCACAGCTCCGAGTCCTCACTTCTCAGAACTCGCCAAATGGCATTCAGGTACATTTACCAGATCCTTCCTTTTTTCTTTTTTTCTTTTTTTCTGTTCCCTTCAGTTTATTATTGCAAAATAAGCAAATTCAAAGGTAATTAAAATTATCCGTGAAATTAATGCAAATCAACAGAGTTTAATTAAAAGATGATGCAATTCAAAGTCGATAATATATACTATCTTGGTATAATTTCTTGTTTAATTATTTTAAATTATTATTGAAAATATAGTTATTATTTGTTGTGAGAATCGAAAGGTGTTGGCTGTATCCTAAGCCAGTGTTGGCATTAGGTTAAATCCAATCAGATTGGGTTGTATAGTTTTGGCTACTTGTGAAACACCAATCTTCCAAGTGTTCTTTTTATATTATTTTCGCCATTTTTCTAGCTGGCTGAAAAAAACCTGTAACTTTAAAATTTATGAAGAATAGCCTATGAAATTCGTACCAGCACGATGAGTAAGTTTGTCGATGCACTTGAGAATAAACTTTGTTACCAACCTATCAGCCTCAAGGCTAAGATACTTGTATGATTTTACTGGTGATCGATACGGATATGAGAATTTCATGATTTTGAAATTTTCGTTTGTTGTGTTTCTTAGCCGTTAATGATGGATGGAAGGGTGGGAATTCAGTTTTTGTTTGGCAATCCAACTTGTTTTTGGATCCAAGGTTATATCTTGTTAGGCTGGTAATGTGTTCTTATTAAAGTTGAATTTGAAAAATGCTGTCTAGCACCAGTGTCGTTAGAGCATTAGTATAGATGGCTATCGTTCATATGTTCAATTAAATGAAATATGTGACATTTAGTGCTTGTTTGGTTCAGATTTTAAGCCAATTAAAATCAATTTTTTAACTGTTATTTTACTATTTCAGTCGTCATTTTTGAATTATTCTCTCACATGTAAGACTTACTTTATATCTAACGGTCAAAAAATCAATTATCAAAATCCCTACCAAACAAGCATTTAATATAAGAGCCTGTTTGGTAGTGATTTTGAGAATTAATTTTTTGATCGTTAAAAGAAAAGTAGGGTTCACCTGTGAGAGAAGAAGTCAAATATGACGGCTGAAATAGTGAAATAACGGTCAAAAAATCATTTTTTTGGATAAAAAAATCGCTCCCAAACAGGCCCTAAGTAAATTTATCATTTAATGCCAGATAGTTGTTACTTAGACTGGTGCTTGACACTAATGGTATTGAATAGCATTACTCGTTGAATTTATGTTCAGTTTCACCCAACTGCTTGTAGAAAAATCAAATTTCATACCAGACCTAAATTTCTTCAATGGAGTCCAGGACTATGTTAGAAAAAGTTCTGTAGGAGGATTGAAAAAACTGCGCCTTTGGTATGAAACATTAAGCATTGGATAGGTTTTTACTTCAACGTCTTGATGGAATTATGCAATGGATTTGAGAACTACTAAATTTCATTGATCATGGCCTTGAACTGTGACGGTTTTCTTTCATATATGTCATTTGATCTAATCAATGACTTCTCTCCTTGTAGGGCCTGTTGCAATATTTCAATCTGGTAGAAGGATGCCTAACATTGATCAAATCTTACCAAGAAAAGAACAACTTTACTTATGACTGGATTATCCGCACACGAGTCGATGGCTACTGGTCCAAACCATTGGCACCAGATAACTTCGTCCCTGGTCAGTACTTAGTTCCACCAGGCTCCTCTTACGGTGGCCTAAATGACCGTTTTGGTGTTGGTGATGTTAACAGCTCGATTGTTGCACTTTCAAGACTTTCACTAGTTTCCGAACTTGATGCAGCCGGGTTCATCCAACTTAACTCGGAAACTGCGTTCAAGGCCCAACTCACCACTCGAAAGGTACCTTATGTTACCAAATCCCTCCCATTTTGTATAGTAACGGATCGTCAATATGAGTTTCCCCCCGCCCGTTTTGGTGTCCCCGTGGCAGCGTTGTCGAGCCCCGGCCCATTAAATGGAGCTAAATGTAGGCCTTGTACGCCGGTGTGTACTGGATCATGTGTTGGGCCTATAATGAGTGGGCTTGACAAAGGGTGGAGCTGGACTGAATGGGCCAACAACACAGTAGAGCTTTGTGATGCCCATGATCAATGGGAAAATGGGTGGGAGAAAGTATTTGACAAGGTAGCCGGGAAACATCTAGCCGCCGAAAGGAAGGAAGTTTCTGCCCTCAAAATCGAGCAGTGTGTCAATGATTTCGAGAAGTTGCGAAAGCGGACGCCCAGTTGGGAGTCTCCACCGGTGGCTGAGATTTGCCGGCTCGGGTTGAAATCTAGATGAGGGAGCAAAATGAGCAATGTGAGAATGGCTTTAACTTCACAGGGCAAATTTTTTTCAATTTTTTGAATTCATTATAGAAATTTTTTTCTTTAAATATAGCTACAGTATTGCATAAATTTTTTTTAATGACGTCAGTTTTTATACAGAAATGGCAGATTTTTTACGCGATGATAAAATTATAAAAATTATGAATAACATACTTTAAAATCGTTTGAAAATAGTATTTCTTTCACAAGGGTTAGAGGATCTGTATTAGCAACAAATATTCATTTTGTGCTCATCAGTTACTGAAATGGACCTTCCCCCTCTGCATGGAGTGACAATACAATGGTAAGTATAAAGGGAAAATATTAAACTACAAAGATTTCAGAATATATTTTCAAAATTAACAAATTGGAGAAAAAAAAATTTCAAAAATTAGGTGGTCACATCTGATAATATTGTGATATATAATTTAAATGGATCATGATCACAATAATGCATAATTTATGGTCTCGATCACATATTAGTCACAAATAGGAGTCAATGACATATATAATTAGAGGGCCATAATCAATTAGTTTAGTCACAAAACATGCATATAATATATTACAAATTATTTATTAGTCACAAGTTACCTAATTAATTGGTTACAATCACTCTCTTCATCTTACCCCCTTCACTCCACCACTGTTGGCACCACACGACATTGCTGTCTTCTCAAATCCACAACCCATCACCATCACCTAAAATCCATAATCACGTCGACCTCCAACCTACTACCTTCTTCATTGATGAAATCACTTCCTTCTATTGACGAAGAAGTTGCAACCATTCATGGCGAGAGGCACTCCCTCTTATTCACTAGAGAAAATCGCGCTCGTGCTAGAAGTTTCGAGTAGAATAGCTTGCAAGAGCTACTTTCCCAAAATCAAGTTTCAATGATCATTGAAGGTTCCAATGGTGGCTTTAGGGGATGGGAGGGAGGTAAAGAGCCTACCATCGTAGTATATCGATCTCGCGGTGGTGTTGGTGACGGAAAGGGAGATTAAGTGATAAGGGTTGTTGGTGAGTGAGACACTGGGATGTGCTACACCTGATTTTAAATTTAAAAAAAAAAATTTAATTCCTTATTTTGGTTGTAAGGATTATGATAATTTTACCTAACTATAATTTGAAATAAAAACCAAAGAACTTGAGCTTCTTATTCCTTTCATTTGATGATGAGTAGATAGCATCAAATTTCAAAGGGTATTTTATTTGAATCAATGCGTACAAGTCATCACCATTAAATTAAGCAATAAAATTTGCTGAGTAGGAGTTGGGACAAGATTACTTTCGAATTTTCCTTTTGCATTTCTCGAAGTTTTTGACAGGTGATATGTCTCTATTTATCACCAAACGTTTTGGGGGCATGCTTGTGATATTAAGAGACTTTAACATCTTAACGCAACAGACGTTGTAGCAAAATGAATCATTGATTTGTTTTACCAAATAAAAAAAAGGAAGGGGGGGTAAGGGGGTGTGTCTGTGAAACGGGCTGAATAAGGAAGACGGGGGTTATGTTGTAATTTGAGAAGTTAAAGGCCCCTATCTGCAATTAACAATTGGGGTATTTGGAGGCTTTGTTTTGTAATTTGAACAGGGTCATATTGCAAATTTCTATATTGTTTTGAATTTGAATTTGAATTTGTAAAGGGGTTTTAAGTTTTAAGTTTGGAATTTTAAAGATTTGACCCAATTAAAAATTTATTTTTGACCTGATTAAAATTATATTAAATAAATAATAAAATTAATTGGCGACTTTTATATTCTCGTCAAAATGTTTGTATGTTTAAATATCGTTATTATTTGTGCACTTAAATTTCATTATATATATATATATATATATATATATTAAAATTTCGTTGTCAGTCTCGTCTTTCAATCACATATAAGTTTTCACCTTTTATCAATTGATGATTATGATTTGTTGTATAATTATTATTCTGTGATTGAATTTTTCATGGGTTTTGAAACGATTCTTATTTTCCCACTGAGAGAAAAATATTTTGAAATAAAAATGGGTGGTAGCTGTCAAAGTGGCACACTCATTATTATTTATTCAATAAAAATAAATAAATACATATATTTTTGTTCAACAATTTTTTATTTATTACATATAATATCTTGCCTAAAGGTGTTATTATATGTGATATTTTTTTAAAAATAACATAAGGCAATTAACGAGTTTGCCTTATTCTAGAAATCTCCTTCTATCTAAAGGTGTTGGAATTTCGAAAATCAATGTGATTTTGTTAACTAGCTATATGATGGGTTTTAAGAGTACCTTATAGCATATTGTATTGTCAGTCCAAAGGCGACTTTATGATGATGTATATAAGCTCTTACCGCAATAAAATTCATGTCTTTGTTTTAATTATGAATTATCTAATTAATAGTCCATATTAATTAGTTGGATATTTTATCATCCATTTGATTGCATGCATTATGTTTGGATGATATTGAGTGTGATATTTTATGTTTTCACAGTTTATAATGTCTCATCTTTTTCAAATCAATTGTCTGCTATTGAAACATTGACTGAGAATAATTATGTGAGATGAAAACGAGACGTAGAAATAGCACTTAGTCTTTTGGGCTTGGATTTTGAAATGGAGAAAAAACTTGAGAAACCTACAGATAAGAGCACTATTAAATATGTAGTCCAGTATGAAAAGTGGGAAAGAGCCAACAAACTCTGTTTGAATATCATTAAGCGATCGATATTTGATTTCATTCTAGGTGTCATCCTCGATAATGAAAATGCCAAAAGTTTATGGATGCCATAGGAGAAAAATTTATTGAGTCTGATAAAGTCGAAACTGGAGATCTAATGGATAAATTGATAAGCATGAAATACGATAGTACAAGTGGAGTTAAGAAGCATGTCATGAAAATGAAAAATATATCATCTAAGCTAAAGGCTCTTAAGATTTCCATTGCGGAGCAGGGTCTATCATGTTTTAAATAGCTTTCATAGCCAGTTTAGTCAGCTTAAAGTTGCTTACAATGCTCAACGGGATAAATGAAATTTGAATGACCTCATAGCAGTATGTGCTCAAGAAGAGTATGGGATTCTCTGTGAAATTGTTGAAACTGTGCAATTAGCTTTTCAGCCATCACATAATAAGAGACCTTCTCATAACAATAAACCTAAGTTTCGTAAGGATAATAAGTCCCACCGAAGTCGGCATAATAAAAATTTTAGTGGTCCTAAAGTAGATATAAAGAAAAATGATCAATGCAAGTTCTGTAAAAAGAAGGGTCATTGGCAAAAGGACTATTTTAAGTTTAAGACTTGGTTGAAAAAGAAGAAGAGTTCTCCAGGTATCCCCTTGGCCTTAGTTTGTTTTAAGCCTTCTTTCGTAGATGTGTCTTTAAATTCTTGGTGGTTAGACTTGGAAGCTAGTATTCATATTGCGGAATCCTTACAGGGGTTCACAAGCAAACGAATGTCAAGTGAGAATGTAGTGAGCTTGAGCGTTGCAAATGGAGTTCAAGTGAAGGTTGAGTTTATAGGAGTAGTGAAGTTGACTTTAAAGTCTAGTTTTTATCTTGTTTTGGAAAATATAGTTTATGTACCGCAAATGAGACGAAATTTAATTTCTATATCGAAACTTGATACTTGTGGTTTTACATTTAATTTTGACAATGGAATGGTTGAGTATTTAATGATTCTCGTTTGATTGGGAATGACATTTCATGTGATGGTTTATATAAATTGTCTTTTGTTCCTTTTGGTGATATTTCTTGTGTTACCAATGTATCAAAGAAAATGACTTTAATTCGTGAATCATCCTCTATGTTGTGGCATAAGCGTTTGGGTCATATTTTTAAGGATAGAATGGAAAGATTAGTAAAAGTTAAGATACTTCCCTCTTTAGACTTCTCTGATTTTGATACCCATGTGGATTGTATAAGAGGAAAGTTAACTAAATCTACAAGAAAATGTTCGACTAGGAGTAATAAAATTTTGGACTTGATACACATTGACATCAGTGGACCTTTGCCTTCCACTATATGTGGGAATAAATATTTCACAACTTTCATTGATGATTTCTCACGATATGGATATGTTTACTTGATTAACGATAAATTACGTGTACTTGAGAAATTCAAAGTTTTCAAACTGAAGTAGAAAAATAATGTGAAAAAAGTATCAAAGTTGTAAGGTCTGACTGTGGTGGTGAGTATTAGGGGAAATATGACGAGCCTGGTCAAAATATGGGTGATTTCGCAAAGTTTTTACAAGAGAGTGGAATAGTGCCACAATACGCCATGCTAGAGACACCTGAGCAGAATGGTGTTTCTAAAAAACGTAATCAAACTCTAAAAGATATGGCTAGAAGTATGATGAGTATAACAAATTTGTCTAAATATTCGTGGGGTGAAGCTTTGAAAAAAGCTATGTATATTGTGGAGTCCATTACTGCTAAGTTTCTGGAGAATGATTTTGGAGATGGTGAGAGTTCCACGTTGAGAGAAATCCTCGTTGAGCCTAATAAAGTTATTGTTCTAGTTCCTGTTATACAAGAAAGAGTTGGTTCTCAACCAATTGAAGTTGTTAATGAAGAACCGAGGAACCAAGAGGAACCTCCAATTTCTCAAACAACGATTGAATCGATTTCCGAGCCACAAGTTAGGAGATCACAAGGGGAAAAAAGATCTGCATTTTCCAGTGATTATATTACATATTTATTGGAGAGTGATTTTAATATTTGGCATATTGTTATAACCAAGCATTGACAAGTCCTGAAACAGATAAATGGATAGCTGTTATGGAAGATAAAATGAATTCTATGGAAAGGAATAAAGTTTTGGATCTTGTTGAACTTCCTCCAGATGCTAAGGCTGTAGATAATAAGTAGATTTTCAAAAGTAAATTAGATTCAAATGGAAATGTTGAACGAAAGAAAGCATGATTAGTTGCAAAAGATTTCCTTCAACGAGAGGGCATTGATTTGTTGAAACTTTGTCCCCTGTTTTGTTGGAAGATTCTTTTCGAATTATCATAACTCTTGTGGCACACTACGATTTGGAGCTTCATCAAATGGATGTTAAGACATCATTTTTGAATGGAGATCTTTCTGAAATGGTTTACATGAAATAACCTGAAGGCTTTGTTGTGAAAGGAAAAGAAAA